AGAAAACCCGCCCGCCCTCCGCAGTAGCCGGCTCTCGGCCTGCCAAGGCTTTCACTGTTAAATTCCTGCAAAGCAGGAGCAGCATTGCTTTGCAGGAATTACGAAGGATTCAGATCCTTTGTAGGTCCTTTGTAACTACAAAGCATTTACTTTGTAATTACAAAGAGATGCTTTTGCAATTGGGAAGCAATGCCAGCAATGCTTTATACGCTGCACTGCAGCGCTATGTAATTGCAAATCAAATGCTTCGTAGTTACAAAGGACCTAAATGCTTCGCAATTATGCAAAGAACTGCTTTGCTGGAATTTAACAGTGCTCGACAACCTTTTTGGACGGGCCTTTCTTAACGGGGGAAGCAAGCTTTTAAGCTAAACGTGTCATCTGTGGCTCAAATTCTGTCGCGTTTTCTATTTTGTTTGTTTGTTGGTGTGTTTTGTGGCCCGGAGTTTCTGTTTCGTGCGCTTCCTTGCGTTTTCATGCACTTGTTGTTCATTGGTGGGAACCAGCATTTTGCTTCCCAATGAAGGCCGGCATTGGGATGAGTGAGGGAGCTGCACGCTCCCCCTCCCTGCGCGGAGCATTCAAGCAAAACAGCTCCGACTAGCCCGGCTGGAAGCGCTGGCAGCCCCCCCTGTCTGGCAGCACGTTGCTCAACCGCCCCCCCCCCCCCCCCGAGCAGCCAGAACTGCCCGGAGCTGCCTACCAACAGACCTCAATCAAAACGAGAAGCTGTCTGTATACATTGCGGAGTAGAATATCTGCACACCCCCCAAACGCACATCTACTCATGATTTGCTCCCGTGACCTGAAAAACCAAATGAAATGGCGTTTGCTTTTACTGTTTGAACGACAGTCATGTATCTTCACAAATGCTTTGTTGGCAACACTATAAAGTTTGCAATTTACTCTTTGCGTGTAAGCTTGCGAAACTGTCAAATTGTTTTAAACCATTAACTAATGAAGCCTAAAGGCTTAGTTTACCTTGGTGATCCGGTAGAGAGCCCCTATGAGGTAGGCCAGCGACGTGCCCGCGTCATGCGTGCGCATCACATTGCCTATGCTGCGGTCCACAGGCGCTAGAGAAACGACACGAACGCTCGCACACACTAACTGTGATTGTACCGGGTGTTGCATAAAAGACACAGGTGCGGGCGGGTTTGCCTACCCAAGGGGCTATGGCGCCTTACGGGCAGAGCGGGTAGGCAAACCAGCCCGCACCTGTGTCTTTTATGCAACACCCGGTACAGTCAAAATAGGAGGAACACTGTGAACTAACGCAATACGAACCTATTGTTCGTAAGCAATTTACAGAGCAACTTTACTCTTGAAACGGGCTGTTTTTTCTTATCTATTGGACCGGAGTTGGAGAAATATCTTTTTCGAATGACAATATTGCATTGTTTTAGGAGTGAACTTGATCTTTCTGTCAGCAAAGCACTTAAAACAAGAAGGTATTTTTCTGGGTGTGGCCCTGCCGCCGTTTGCAGCTCCAACTCCATAACAGTGACGTCGTCGACGTTTTCGCCCAACTTTACCTCGCGTCACATGGGTGAACGTTTATTGTGGGAGCACCTTTAGTGGAGCGTATAGTTTTCGGAGAGCAAACTCCTGCGACATGTGTGTGTTGTGCGTTGAGTCCAGCCCATAGCGCATATAAAGTTTAAGGTTGGCCTAGCCTGGCGTAGCGTGGTGTGGCCGGGTGCGGCCACGCGAGGCGGCCAGCCCAAGTCTGTTCTGTCCAACGAGGCCCGGACGTATTCTGCAGAGGGGGGGGGG